GGGAGACTTCTTTTGGGCTTAGGATGGGCCCTAAGAGGGCCTCGCTGGTCTCGTATTTGGGCCCTATCCGGGCCGCTGTCACCGGGTGCGACCCCGGCTCTACCATGGAGATGGCCCCCCGGGCCCTATGGGGACAATGCCTTCCTTTCAACTGGGACAGACCGAAGAAGATAGACAGACAGACATAACGACAGACTATCGGAAAAGCTGGCCGAAAGTTCATCCTTTTTGTTTGACGGGCGACTGTGCTCAAAATGACAAAAATTCGCTTGGAAATAGGCTAAAGGACTATGAAGCAAGTAACCTGAAATTTGTCGTACAGTAGGGTACACGGCCGCACACTAAATTTTCTTTTTCCGACATGATGTTTCTGATTCCGTCTCTCTCCTCCCTCTCTCTCTCTCTCTCTCTCTCTCTCTCTCACATTTTGCCTCTGAGCCTCCGACTTTGACTCTGTCTCTCTCCCGTTCTCTCAATCTCTGGCTGACTTGCTTCTCGAAATCCCGAACAAAATCACCGTCCGCTCAAGACGATAGTTGGGCCTCTTCTTGTATCAGATGACATGCATCACCAAATTTTCCGCCCCTTGATTGCTGCGACACCTACCCCGCACTTCCGGTCCCCCATCGGGGTACGACGCTACCCTCCAAATTGCATTTCGACCCCGGCTGAGGGATCAGCTCGGGACAAGGCGGAATTTTTAGTGGGCTCTCCGTGTTTGATCGGGATACGGTAGGTGTTGAAAGATTTAATCTCGAAATGGTGATCGCTCTCCCTCTCTCGCGCTCTCTCTCCCTCTCTCTCCCTCCTCTCTCGCTCTTTCTGTCTTTCCAGCTCTCTCTCTCTCCCACCTAAACTTCCAAATTCCCTGAGTTCATTTTGCGAAACCCCAGCCCAAATTCATCTCCAGCCGGCCGGGGGGCGTTGACACGGAATTCCCGGTGGGACCCACCTCAAGGCGAATCTGCTCCTTGCCATCACTACCGAGACATCCGTCCCTACCCCCCTTTGATCCCGCCACCCCCTAAAGGGATGGGTGACAGAAAAGACATCTGATGACAACCTCTGACATATGCCATTCAGCCCCTTGACACATACCACATCAACAAAATGGATGGTGCCAAGCCGGCGGCTGGAGGATGGGTTACGGTAATAAACTAATGTATTTATAAATTATAAAATTGAAAAGAAATCCCCGAGGGGAAAGAACTCGCCGAAGCGAGCGAATGCCTCCGAAGAGGCTGAAATTCGCCGAAGCGAAGGATTCCCCGAAGGGACAAACTTGCTACGAGAGCAAGCGGGTTGTCCAAAAGGACACAAACCTCACCATGAAGGTGAGGCGGGTACTCGTAAACGAGCATTTAAGAGGATAAAGAAAGAAAGATGTGCCTGTTTCGACCCTTAATCCAAGACAGGCTTAAAATACGTCAGGGTGGGTCTCCTCAGCTGGATCCCTGACGTTTTAGAGGTTAAATAAAAGAGGTTAGATTAGATTATAGTTGGAAGAGGTAAGTAGTAAAGTATAAAGAATTAAATGTAGAAGGAAAGGAAGTTAATTTAAATGGAGGACTATTTTAAGTATTTTTCTTCTCCACGTTTTGGCCCTCTTTGGGAGGCTTCCTTAGCTCGGGGAGAGCCGGGGAAAGCCCGTGTCGAAAGGAGTGGTGTGTAGGGTAGCGTAATCGGAGGTTAGGCCAAAAGGAAGAAGGGAAAAGTGAAGTTAGAAAAAGAAAAGGTAGAGAAAACTAGGCGGACATCAAAAATAATCTAGGTCCGCTGCGAAGACTTCGTCTTCCCGTTAAGGGCTTCAAGCGATGAGCGAGAGATCGAGAGAGAGAGAAAGGGAGCGAGAGAAAGAGAGAGCAAGTGAGGGCGAGAGTGAGAGGGAGAAAGAGGGCCCGAGAAAACATTAGTTAACGAAATTAAAACAGAACCGAATTGCCCAAACCACTTACCAGCAATTTCTGGACGCTGAACATCATCCGGATACGTTCCTCGCAGGCGGCCTCCAAATCGCACGCTCAGTTTCGGCGATACTGCTTCAGATGAGATAGCCAAGATCAAATCTGAGTGCCCGAAGGGCCCTAGGGCCCCATGCAAGGGGCCGGGCCGGAAGTTGCAAGGCCCAACTCCGCGCTTCCAGCCAATCCGAGGGTGATGGGCGGATACGGTAGCTGGAGAGCATGAGCTGGCAAGGCTTCATACCTCTCTTTTTGTCTCTCTCTTGTTCTTCCGCTCTCTCGCTCGCTGCCCTCTGATTTTTTATAGTTTTTCGCTTCTTAAACGTTTATGATCATTGTGCAAATTCCAGAATAATACGTATGCAAATTTATTCGCAAAGCGCGACCCGTTAAAGCAAAGTATCGTCTTGTACAGCGTCCAGAGATCAGAAGCGGAGTCCTGAAAATAGCCATCAAAATAGCAAATAAATGCAAATCACTTGTGGACAGGGTGGTGGCCCTGCGGTAGATTGGTGGTGTCTGGATCTGTTTGCCTTGCATTAGGGCCAGATTTTCCGTGGTTCCTTCTGAAAATTACAGTTTTTAAAAAATCCAAAATTAATTTTTTACGATTTATGAAACTTTTGAAGTAAAGACCATTGTGAACTTCAAAAAATTACCATTTGCGGCCGCGTGGCCGATGAAAAAGAGGACTGCCCAGATTAATACCATGTGAAGTTGCATGCCTGGAAATGTATTCTTGAGGCGATAGAGAGAGAGAGAGAGAGAGAGAGAGAGAGTGAGAGGGTGGGAGAGAGCGAGTGAGAGAAACAGAGAGAGAGCGAGAGCGAGGCATAGAGCGATAGAAACAGAGTGGTACTGTCCCGAGGCAAGCTATCGGAAAATCCTAGGAGGACCGAAAAAAACTAAGAAAGAAAATCGATCAGAATTTTTTTATTTTGGTAGCGCGAACTTGCCGTGAATTCACAAGAAAACCGGGGGAACGAAATGGCATTTGGTGTGGGGTGGAAAGGGCTGGAGAAAACGGGTAAACAACCCTGAAGACCAATGGGACAAATAATGATGCGAAAGGGATGGGAAAGAGAGAGAGAGAGAGAGAGAGAGAGAGAGAGAGAGAGAGAGAGAGAGAGAGAGAGGAGCAAAGACAAATCTACAAACAGAGAGTACTGGACTTTAGACTGTACTGGGATGGCACGGGTCTAGTTTGCCGAGCAGTTCTATCGGTGTTCGAAATCGCCTGGAATTTCGAGAAAAATCTCTAAATCTGTAAAAAACTGTAATAAATGGGGTGGGGAGAGTGAGAGTGAGAGAGAGATCAAAAGAGAGAGAGAGCGAGAGAGAGAGCAAAAGAAAGAGAACGCGAGAGAGAGAAATCAGATAAAAATTTTGCATGAATAAATGGCCACTACAAACTCATACAAAATAACGAAAATTTCAAAACCTGGCAAGAATCGCAATTTTTTTAGCCCCTCAAACAACAAGAACCCTTCAAAACACGAAAATGCCAGCGATAAATCGCTTTGTACGGCACCTATTCCCCTCCCGATTTCTTCCCGGGGAGAAATGGCATCATTTCCCTTTCCCATTTTTGTCGAGACAAGTGCATGGTCAATTTTCCATCCATCCCCACGCTTTGAGTGTTATTTTGCGCGTCGCTGACCGCATGGAAACGCACTGTCTGCTGTACAAAGGAGTCGGACGGAAATGGGAGGAGGGGGTGGAGCTGGTTTTTGATAATTGTAGATTAAAGGGATGGTGTCGGCTGGTGGGAGGGCGATAGAGAAAGAGAGAGAGAGAGAGAGAGTGAGAGAGAGAAATAATAGAGAAAGTGAGAGAGAGGGCGATAGAGAGAGACAGAGAAAAAGAGAGAATGAGAGAGAGAAAGAGAGAGAGAGTGATAGAGAGAGGCGAGAGAGCGGCACAAATGCAAATCAACAGCCCTCGAATCGAAATAAATAGCGTATACCGACCCGAAAATTTGGTCGTCTTCTCCAACGCACCCGATTCTCGAGGATTACATGCCCGGCCTCTCGGCAAATGACAAACTTTTTTGCAACGGCAATGCCCCGGCCGAGGGCAGAAAAGAAGAAGTGGAAACAGAACCGAGACGACAGCACCTCCCTTCGAATTTATCCAACCGGTTCCGCGCAGTCGATCACTCAGATGGGAGGGAGGGATGGAACAACAGAATATGGAGCGGAAATGGCAACTAGTATTTCAGTTTTTAGTGGGGTTGGAGGGTGGAGAATAACGAAAGACCTGGATCATCGCCGCGGGGGTTCAAGGTTGGAGAGAGAGAAAGAGCGAGAGAGAGAGAGAGAGAAAGGTAGTGAGAGAGAGGGAGAAAGCGAGAGAGAGAGAGAGAGAGAGAGAGAGAGAAAGAGATAGTGAGCGAAAGAGAGTGGAAAGAAAGTGTATGTGTGCGACGTCTTGGGAATGCTAGCAGCGATTCTTGGTGTTTTTGCTGGCTCTCTCTCTCTCGCTCTGTCTCTCTCGCTCTCTCTCGCGCTGTCTCTCTTTCGATTTAATCCCAATAGCCCAGCATCCCCCTTTGCAATAAATCCCCTTCTACGTTTTCTTATTTTTTGCCGTCGTTACCTTCTCCCCGGAATACAAAATACCTGCTTCAAATTTACGACAGGTCATGAGGGCCAGTGGCCAGGTGTCAGGGCCAAAAACTCGGCCATAAGGGGAAATGAGGGAAAAACCGGTGGGAACTCCCCATTCTCATTCCGGATTCCGGAATCGCAATATTTTGCATTTTTCAATTTTTTTGGCAGGAATTCTCATGCGGAATTGGGGGAATTAACGGAATTTTGTTTCCAAATAAATCCCAAATTTCGCACGATTTTTCTGGTAATTTTACACCGTATAAATCAGGTGGCAGGGGTGTGGCTTTGCCAGAAATTGCCACTTGAAATTTCAGACAAATTTTGCAGAGCGTTCCTGGCAATACGGTATTTTCTGGTGGATTTCCTACTGGATTTTCTACCGTATCCCCTACCGTACCTGCGGCAGCATATAAATTTATTTATTTGAATGCCGACCGAATCCGAGTTGGCAGCATTTGGCTGCACGAATATCGTAATTTCCGGGATATTTTTATGCTTACAAGCGTGGTACTGTAAGGTGAGGGAATATCAGGAAAATGCCGATTTTTGCAGCAATAAAATCCTTATTATTAATATTACTATTTTAGATAGCTTTTTAACCTTTTATAGCACTGAAAATTTTTGAGATTTACAATCTTGATCCATCAATTTAAAAAACGACGTTTAGGCGGTTTAAGGGGACGGTTCTTTTGCGTTATCGGGGGTCTATTTTGCCGAAAAACTCAGATTTTTATATTTTAATAAAAATAGCTCAAGTCTAGATATCTAAAAATCTGAAAACGTTTCCTCTATTAATATTCGAAACACTCGATACTCAAGGAAAAGTTGAGTTTCCCCTGGTAGCCCCCCCCCGATAACGCACCAGAACCGAGCCCCATTTTCGGCGTTTAAAGGCAAGCTAGCAGAGACCGTTGGAGAAACATACAAAAAAAATTTCAGTTTGTCTGGTCAAAGCGACCGGGCTGGGGCTCGGACTTTATCCCGACGCTCCATCTACTGAATGCCGTCTGTGATATCAGCCAGTTATGCTGCCACTTTTGGGCTGGAGTGCAATGTCTTTTTCCGGCACAATACCTGCCCGGATCGCCGGTATTTTTAAGGCTGAAATTCAAATTAAAATACTCCTTGTCCAATTTTTCTTGCAACCTTTAATTCCAAGTTAATTAATTTGAAATAAATTTTGATAACTATTTCAAGTTGAAAATTTTTGATTCTAGGTATTCGGCGGTCTCGTATTCGGCACTTGGCTGAACGGAGCGTTTTACATGAATTTCTTCGTCGTCCATCGATTTTTATTCATTTTCATGCCGTTTCGCGTTGACTTTATTATTACACGGCTGGTGACACAGGTGAGGCCAAAAAATGGATTTACAGACACGTAACCTTTAAAATTACACTGAATCCAGGTTTTTGAGCAAAAAGCAAAAAGTTTGTTGCGGGTGGGGATCGAACCCTTGAGGTCTGGTTTGATAGGCGCGGATGCAAACCACTACACCAAATGCTCGTCCACCGAGACACATCCGCCCGCGTTCAAAAGACGATTTTGAGCCGTTTTTCAGCTGTTCACGGCAGCCACGCTGATCTTCTTGTTCCTCTACATGTGCATGTCGACGACCGTCCTCTTCATCAGCTATTCAGCCACTGCCCTATCATGGGCCATTGATTGGCGTCATTCCTGGGAACCCGGCTATCGATTTTTGTTCTTCATCAATGAGCTGTCAAACTATCTATATGTTTATTTCAATTTGCCGTTTTATTTGGCGATCGGCGGGATGGTTGTCTATAGAAAGGTCGGGGTTTTGGGATTTCATTCTCGTTGGCTTACACTTGGCTTAGACATGGCTTAGGGCTGGCTTTGGCTTGGCTTGGCTCAGGTTTGGCTTAGACCTGGCTTGGCTTAGGCTTAGCTTGGGCTTAGCTTAGGCTTGGCTTAGGCTTGCTTGGCTCAGGTTTGGCTTAGACTTGGCTTGGCTTAGGCTTGGCTCAGGTTTGGCTTAGACTTGGCTTGGCTTAGGCTTGGCTCAGGTTTGGCTTAGACTTAGCTTGACTTAGGCTTAGCTTGGGTCTGGCTTAGGCTTGCTTGGCTCAGGTTTGGCTTGGCTTGGCATGGCTTGGCTTGGCTTGGCTTAGCTTAGGCTTAGCTTAGGCTTAGCTTAGGCTTAACTTAGGCTTAACTTAGGCTTAGCTTAGGCTTGGCTTGCTGTGCTTCGGTTAGCTTCCTTTGCAACTAAAATAACTCTAAACCCTCTTTCAGCGACTCCACAAATCCCAAATGAAAGCCCGAGATCTCTATCTGATAATGCAGGTTGGAATATCTAGGCCTTTCAATTCCCTTCAACCTCTCAGATGCTAATTTCGTGGCTACTCTCCGTGGTCTGCTGGTTCCTCTGGGAGGTGTTTTACGACCAGAACGAGCAGGATTTTCCCAAATATTTGAAGGTATCGTTTTCTAGCTATGTTAAAAATAATGGTAAATAGTGTCTTCTTAGTTATATATTGTTTTAATTTTAGAACTCGGTCGCGTGGATGCTGTGGAATGGGTACAAGCCGCTGTCGACGCTTATAACTCTGGGGTACGTCAGGAACGGCTACAAAAATTTCTATTTTTCAAATTTTTAGCAATTTTTATTCGTTTTTTCATTTAAATTAGCTTACCTTCAATTTTCCAGGCTAAAACCGTCGCTAGTGCAGCCAAACGTGTCCGTGAAAGTGGTCCCCGCGCCTGAAAATAATCGAAGAAGATCTACCGTAGCTTCGATTTTACCGTTTCACGTGACGGCCCATTAGTGTACTGGATAAAGGACTTAAAACCCGATCTATTGAGTGCATAATAGCTTAGCTTCGGCCTCAATTTGGCTTAGCCCAAGCCGATTCCGCAATTTCTGCAAAAATCGCTTCTTCCAGTCAGCTGCACTTTTTGAGCGCCCCCGTCCGGGTCTACAATTAAAATAGCAGCACGTGTCTCGGTACAGTTTAGTTTTAGTTTTAGATCTTCAGAAGAAAGAATCCCAAGAAATGTTGATGACACTGGATGACTACGGGCTGATACTATTTGCTAGTAATACCATCCTAATTTTGACAATTTTCCTCGGGCTGCAGTTTTGGTATTGTAAGGGAAGAGAGAGAGAGAGAGAGAGAGAGAGAGAGAGAAAGAGATAGCGAGAGAGAGTGTGTGAGAGACAGAGAGACAAAGAGAGAGATCGAGAGCGAGAGAGCGAGAGAGCTAGTTAGAGATATTTTTCGAGTTCGCGCCAGACAAGAAGCTAGGCTTGGGTCCGGACATTGTCCCGACCCTCCATCTCATCAACGCCATCTGCGACATCTGCCAATTAATGGCTTCTCGGAAATGTCGAAAAATGGCGAAAATATCGAAAACTAGCTTTTTAACCCCATTTTTAGAGGTTATTTTTGTTTTTGCTATAACTATTTTATATTACAATATTTTGAGCCGCCATAAAAGCACCTAGTATATTTTTTCGATGCTCTAGCGAATGGCGTCGAAAAAATTCCGACAAAATAGCGAAAATATGGAAAACTTGCGGACCCTCGCGACCATCCGCTTTCAGATGACGGCAAAAACAGGATCAAAAAATCTGTGCAGCACCTCGTTCGGTTGCCGCGCACCCGGCCGTTCAACCCACAGAGAACAAGTTTATCGGAAATTAAATTTGCAACTGTGAATTGAATGTGTATTGAGGATGCTGCCAGAAACGAGCTGCAATCCTAGATGAGCACGACCAAGACGTCGGGATGGCGAAGCTTGTAGCGATGGCAGAAATGGGCAAGGGAGATGTAACCTGAAAAAAATCCCTGTGTAGGATAGATTCGCCGGCTAAACTCTAGTTTACCCCCCCAGGCGAGATAGTAGGCCTGGGGGAGAGGGCGCAGGCGAAGAGATAGTAGGCCTGGGGGAGAGGGCGCAGAGAAAAGGGGCGTCTGGGGGGGGGTAAACTAGAGTCTTACCGATTCGCCGGAATCGGACCTCGGAATATATGGTGAAAACGGAGCGCGGACTCTTTTTTATCCCAGGAAAGATTTGACTTTGCGAAATTCTGCTTAGAAATAGGCAATGTAGTTAGTTTAATAAAATTTAATCGCTCCCGATGTTAAAGGGATTAGGACGGCCAGTGTCGATCAGGGGTCATCGACAACTGGAAGCTAGCCAACCGGCCAGAAAGGAGTAAGAGAGCGCGCCTAATTGAGAGGGAGCAGAGAATCATTCCGCGCATTTATGCAATCAACTCCAATAATTTTGCTATGGTGTCTGTCCGGTCCCGGATTCAACTCGAAGGGGAAAGGAGCTAGAGCTTAGCTCTCTTCGGATTCGGATAGAGCGTGGTCAGAAACCCCCAAACTGATAAAAAAATTATGAAAAAGTTTTTGTTTAAATTATTGAATTTAACTTTGAAAGTTTTTTCCTTAGCAAATGGAGGGGGAATCGGATTTCGGACCTAGTGAGCCAGGTCGCGCGCGTTTCGGCCAGGGGGAGGGCGCGCAGGGGGTAGCACGAAGTCCAGCCGCTTGCAGGAACGGAAGCGACCTGGAAGCGGCTGGTTTTAAAAAATTCACCGGACCGTCCTGATCCCATTAAGATGAATAAGGGTTTAGAGCCGTAAGTCGATGTTAGTTGACACAAAGTCCAAAAGGGTAACCAAACAAATAATGCCAATTTTTCAAAAATAGTATTTTGACAATTACTTGAGAAATACCGTAGTTAGAGGGCTGAAAGTTTCTGTGAACATGTGAAATACCTTTGCGAAACTCTGTTCAAAAATTCAAATCGTTAGATCTCGAAATGGCGAAATGCCAGCGCGACCTTCTTTATTGGGACACCCTGTATACTTTGGCCAATTTCTGATGCGATTGGTTGTATGCGAAACCCTAGTTATAGAAAGGATAATAGCCCTAAATATGAGCTTTTGACTCTGCTAGAATAGTAGGTAAGAGTTCAGTTTAACCACCCCCGCCCCACCCCCCAGCCGACCCCCGAACTTTTGTACCTCGGTCACATGTTGACCGACAGGTCAGTAAAGTATACCAAATTGTTCGTCTTGCTCTGGCGAGTATTTTGGTATATTTTTCAGGCCCCTACAAAAGCGGCGTGTCGAGATACAGTAGGTGTGGTCGGCTGGGGGCGGGGGGGGGTACACTGAAACAGCCGAATAGTAAATTTGACGGTCATTGCCGAACGACTTCGGGACGTGCCACTAATACTGGGCCGATTCGAACTGAAAGCTTTCATCCCTATGCGGGCCATGTTTGTTTCTGCTGGCTTTCTGTAATAATGATACTCACCCCATAACACTAGTATCAGGACTAGAGCGCAGACCATCATTGCGATTCTGTCGGCCTAAAGATAGGTGAGACTTCCGTTAGATAGCCGTTAGAAGACCTTTAGAGTGCAAAGAATTCAGTAGTTTATGATCGCTAGCAGCTCATAAAACTTATCTTAAATAAGCTTCGAAAATCCGAAATTTTGGCGTTGATTTTGATTTCACCAAAGCCAACAATTTCACCATACGAAAATTTTTATGAATGTTGTTGTAAGGAAGAACCCTACATCCACGACGAAACATACCAGCGGTCTCAGCGGACTCGCAATGACAATAAAAATCATAAAGCAACACAGGAGCGGAAACATTGGCAGCAAAATCAGCTCCGGCTCCTGTAACGGCGTAGCCTAAAACAAACATGTGCGGGATTATAGGGTACACATAGGATAACGGGGGGAAATAACGGGGGGCACTCAAACTTTTTATATGATAAAAGTATTTTTAAATAAGCTTTTTTCGGGCTGTAAAAAAACTCTTAGTATATTTTTCGGTCCTCTATCGAATGGCATTTTCAAAATTTCGAAAATATTCAAAACGCCGAAAATTTTTTCCCCCCCTGTTATCCTATGTGCTGCCCATAGTTTTCAAAAATAGTTTTTAGGCTATAAAACTTTTATAATACATTTTTTCGCGTTGTAAAAAAATCTCTTAGTATATTTTTTGATGTTCTATCGATTCGCGTTTTCAAAATATCGAAAATCTCAAAAATTTGGCTCCCCCCCCCGTTATCCTATGTGCTGCCCATGGATTTTGATCAATTTTTGTTTATTCGATAAAAAATTTCATTTACATTATTTTGGGCTGAAATTAATTTTCCTAGGGCAGTTTTCGACGCTTTATCGAATGACGTTTTCAAAATACCGAAAATGTCAAAAATTTCGATAATTTGATTTCCCCCGTTATCCTATGTGCTGCCCATAGATTTTCCTCACTTTTTGTTTATTCAATAAAAAATTTCTATTACATTATTTCGGGCTGAAATTAATTCTCTTAGTATATTTTTGGACGCTCTATCGAATGGCACTCGCAAAATCCCTCAGTAATTGCAAATGTCATAATAATGAGTGCCCCCCCGTTATTTTATTCCCCCCCCCCCGTTATCCTATGTGTACCGGATTATAGTAAGCGAGGAACTTTGGTAGCGGCTAAAAAGGCAAGAATGAGGGCCGATTTTAACGATTTAGGTATCTAAAGCAAGCCCTCGGAAAGGCGAGCACAAGAGGCGTTTTTCATTTTTCAACGTAGACATTTTAATTCACAAATTTTACAATCACAATCCCTGAAAACTACAGATTTTTGGGACAATCCGTATGTAAATTGATTGCTCAAGCTAACAGGACGACGCTGGTTTGACGCTTTTTAATTCTGCATCTGTTTGGCACCCACGTATTCACGCCAGCTGAAGTGCGACTCCAATTGCACGACATCGTTCTGGAGTCCCAACGCTAATTTTTCTGGTTGTCCGACTTCTTTGCTTCTTACCGATCAATTCTTCTTTCAAGTCGTCGCCAAGCAAGTTGTAAGTCGTCATGCGCCGTCGGGCATCCGTTCGAGAATCGATTGTGGTACTCATTTAACAGATGCTTACCTTTGCCTTCGATACACTTAGGCAATTCGGACAATTTCGGCCGTCATGCTGGTGACTGGACTTCTGGAAAAAGATACGCTAAACTTACGGGTCTTTGTTTTCAGGGGACACCGAACTGCCAAATCAAAGCTCTTTTGGGAAGGCTATTTGATGTCTGGCAAATTGCCAGCGGCCGCTGCGGGACCAGAGCCCTCCTTCTTTCGATTTTTGCGCGAAACTGTTGTTTTTCCCCAAATTTCTTGATGAAAACACTATAGTTCGCAAATTGTGAGGGAATTTCTCAAATCCTCGCGCAATTTTGAATAGGCTTGGTGTTTTAATCACCGAATTTGGCCCAGAAACAGCCGAGAACGTGATTTGGGGGGGTGACGACAGGGAATTGCAAACTTGCGAGCTTCCCGGCGCCCTGGGCGTACAAAGGCCTTCAACGTACAGGTCCTCTTTAGCGAATAATGAACCAAGTAGTGACAAAGCTTATTAGATGTTAGAAGATTTGGATGTTTTCCCGCACGGATTGCAGGGTTTGGGCAGGGGGGCCGGGTGGCGAATGTAGCCTCGGGCAGTAAAAACTGACCTCGTCGCCCAACCGCAACGCCATTTGATCCACTGACATTCCGACGCAGCGCTGCTGCTGCTGCTGCTTTCCAGAATTCGTAGAAATGCCGGGTAAGCTTTATGGTGTTTTATGTTTTGCGGGGCAACGGTTTTGTCCGGTTTACTCAAGCCTCTCACCACCACTCCTCGCGTTTCTTTTTAAGCCCAGGGTTGAAATTTTCCAAATCTGTCAAAATCTCAAAAATCATAATCTCGAATTTTCAAAATTCGAATTTTCAGAATCTCGAATTTTTAGAATCTCGAAATTT